AATGAATGTCCAATCATCACATTTTTATGAGCTGCTGATTGTTTTAGGCATTGGAGAGAAAATTACTGAGAGTTGGGGGTGGGGGAAGACATAGTCCCTAAAAATAAATGATTTAGATTGAAATAATTCTGAGCTTCATTTTGGATAAAATTGTAAGATATCAGATTTGTCCCAGAGGAGATATAGTACTTCCAGGTTTGGGTTTAGGTTATAAATATCCCAGGAACTGTGTTACTCATGGTATTTCAATTTATTCCCAGTTGCCCATGCACTGAAACAAAGAAACACATACCTGTATCTACATGTAATTGTAGAATAAGTATCCCATGCCTTTGGAAAGGTTGTATGGAGTTCAACTATAGATTTGTCCGCTGAGTGAAGACACATTTTCAATAATTATGAAAGTAAATGATGAAATTTACTCTTGCCTGTATAAGAGTTTTATTTTAGCTGAAACTAACCATGTAGCTTCCAGGCTATAGACGAGAAAAACAAGGATGACATCCACCCAAATGTGTGAAAGTGTCATTGAGACAGATGACAAACATTTCTCCATTTCAGCATCTATCAGAATTATAAATCACTATTCCTGGAATTTTATCAATAAAATGTTCTTTGTATACCACAACATAATGTGGAACCATAAAAAATTGTAATTCAAAAATTTTGAACCTTTGAGTTGTAATATGTCTGTTAAAACATGTTGTACATTATATACTAAAGTTAAAAAAAAACAGGGAGTATAAGAGACTGCCAAAAACAAACTAAATAATGACAGCTAGAGAAGAAAGTGAGAGAAAATAAATTGAATTCACATATAATTTCCAGACATCCTTTGAAAAAGGAGATAATTCCCTATGAAAAAAATTTCATAGCAACTAGGCAATATATTTTTAGTAAGAATCTACAGGCATTTTTTCTCATCTTGGTCATAAATAATGTTCAGTTGGTTTAGGAAAATTCATTGGTTTTATGAAAAGTTACTACACTGTGTTGAGCAGATAGATGTCAGGAAAAATGAGGTATTTTGGAGTTTAAGACATTGCAAATTTCAACCGTAAATACACATTATCACCTGCATCTTTGTGTAACTATGCGCTGTTTGGTTTTTAAGTGGAAAGTATTAGTTTCTTTTTCGAATTCTCTAAAATTATAACATTTCATAACTAGTAATTGTGTAGTCTAGGACAAGAAATAGATATTAAGCATGTTTTTAAAAGTCCAGCTCAGGAAATATCAGAACACATTTATTTGAGGCTGCCCTGCTGGTGATTACACATCACTTAACATTGGCCTTGGTCCAACTCCGAACAAGGACTCATCTGAGAACCTATGGTTCTGTGGAGAAAAATAAGTAAGTAGGCTGGTTTTGAAGACAGAGAAGATATGTGGCATAAAATGAAGTATTATGTGTTATGGAATAATTTTTTTGTACACTGAGAAGGTGTGTCTTTTCCAAGGTACCACTAATTGGTTTAATAAAAGGCTAAGTAACCAATAGATAGGCGTGTAGAGGCGTGGGGATGAAAAAGGGTGGAGCTGCCAGCCAGATGCAGAGGAGATGAAAAAAGGTACCACCACAATGTACAGCATAGATAAGGAATATGGGTTGATTTAAGTTGTAAGCTAGTAAGTAACAAGCATGAGTTATCAGTCAAGCATTTATAACTAATAATAAATATCTGGGTGGTTATTTGGGAACTGGCTGGCAGGACAGAGCTGACTGGGGGCACAGAGAAAGTCCATCTACAATTATGATGCTCATTAAAAGGTTGGCCTGTTGGAGCTACTGATAACACCCATTTGTAACATGAGGATCATTTGTTGTCTGAGGTTTCAGTCATGCCAGGTTTATTTCCTCCCACTAGGCCCCACAGCCATTTAGCCCCAAAGAAATCACACAGAGGTCTATATTAATGATAAACTGATTTGTCCATTAGCTCAGACTTCTTATTTACCCTTATAACTTGTATTAGTCCATTATTCTCTTCTTTGTTAGCCACATGGCTCAGACCTTTACCAGCAGGGCAGGTCACATCTTGCTTCTTTGGTGTCTGGATAGAATTGGGGAGGAATGGGCTTCCTCCTTCCCAGAATTCTCCGGTTCTCATTGACCCACCTCTACTTCCTGTCTGGTTGTCCCACCTATACTTCCTGCCTGGCTACTGGCTAATTAGTGTTTATTTAACACATAACTGACAGAATACAGACAATTGTCTCGCACCACCCTTTCATAGTTAATAGCTACCTACAGGACAGTCAAGTTTGACCTTGAAGATGTTCCAGTAAAAAGAGACAGTAGGGTACATATCACGGGGTTCCTTTTATGTGAGCTACCATCCACAGAGACAGAAAGATTACCAGCCATGTATGAAGATGGGGGTGATTATTAAGAGCTTAGAGATTTCTGTTTGGTGAATTGAATTGTCCTAAAATTCAATATTAGTTATGATTGATCAATTCAGGATAATACTTACTAAGAACAAAGGAACACGAATACATGATTTATAAAGGTGAGTGTTATGGTATGTAAGTTATATTTCAATAAAACTATTATAAAAAGTAGGACAGCAACATTTTTGGCACATAGGTTATAATTTTAGATTAGTTTTTGATTAGCCAGTGAAACTATCTACATCTAATTAAAGTAGTTAGCATTTTATATGCATTATTTTTCTTAATTCCATGTTAAACCTATTACCAATTACATCATTCTCAACTTAGAGTAGGTGATTTTAGGAATTAGAGGAACTGAACAGTTTGCCCAGGGCTAAAAAGATCTAATGAACTTCATGCATATTTAGAATCTCACCCAGGTCAAGCCTCATGGTCATGCCTGATGTCACCCTAAAGGTTTCTTCCAATTAACACATGACTGAAGAGGAATGAGACAGAAAGAGAATTTCAGAAAGGACGCTGAGTCACCTGCCATCTCAAAATACTGTGGATGGGATAAGTTGGAAGTTGGTTGGAATTTATTGTCTAATTTTGATATTCTGAGCCCCCAAATGGAAAGAAAGTACCAGACAAAGCATGGGGTTGTGATTAGACAGAGGGTGCTACATGAGACTATTTGAATAGACTCAATCCAAGGAAATTCAAAATTAATCAGGAAAGAATACATGAAAAGTGCTGAGTTTTCCTGAAACCTTTTTATCATTGGTTAAATTAAGTAACTTACTTTACTTATCAAATATATTTGTTTTCTTTATGTCTGAGTTAGTATTTTTATCACTGTGAAGAGACACTATAACCATGGTAACTCTTATAAAGAAAAACATTTAATCGGGGTAGCTTAGAGCTTCAGAGATTTTATCCATTATCATTAAGCTGTAAGTGTTAAAGCAGCGGGAAATAAAAACAAAGGAGCAGATCCAAAGATAGATTATGAATTCTAAACCAAGAAAGTTCCAAAACACGATGAATTTAATGGTGCATAGTGACTGGTCAGCTCTGAAATTTGTAGAGGGAGCATGTGTAATAGAAAGGAATGAAAAAGGTGTGTCAAAATAATGGAAGGAAGATTGTAGCAATGTGTAAAAATTTTTGGATATAAAGATTTTAAGAATTAATCTTAGGATCTGATGTTGGGAAACACAAAACTGTAACTATGGAAAGTGTGTAATGATGGAAAGCGTAGACTTTAAGTCAATGTGGAAAACAGTTACAGAAAGGTATGAGTGTAGACAGGGAGGTAATTAAGAACGTCATAGAAAAATACTGGAGGCAAAGAGAAAGGGAGGAGGAGGGAGAATGCAAGCAAAGAATACATGGAGTTACACAAAATGTGTTACTTACCCCAGTAAGCTGAATAACTTGTGCAGTTACATAAGAAAACTCCATCTCTCCTGTTTGTTAGCTGTTGTATAAAACACTTTCAGGAAAGTCACAATTTAAAACCATCTGTGTAATTGGAGACAAGCAGAATGATTGCTAAAATGAGACCTCAGTTTTCAAAATGATCTCCTCAGTCTGGAATATGGCTTCAGATCCCCTGGAACTGGAGTTCCTCCTGGTCGTGCGCCACCATGTGGGTCCTGGGAATCAAACCCAGGTGCTCTGAAGAGCAGCCAGTGCTCTTAACTGCTTACCCACTTATACAGCCCCGGCTTTCCTTTTTATCCCAAAAGCAAAGATAAAAGTAGAATACTACCATAACAATTGAACAGGAAATAATTACTCTACATTTGAGAAATCTGGAGGAAAAACTATAATTACTGCCTACCGAAGGAGTGACATCTCTGAGATAAATGGGAAAATCTTACTGGTTTTGGTGAATAGATAGTATTCATTGAAGAACTACCTTCGAAAGTACAACTCATGGGTAAAACTACCTTAATCCTCAAAACAGACTATTAACATAATCATGTGTATACATATTAATGGCTCAGAAACATTACTAATACCAGCTTGTCACATATTTTACTTATATAGTCCAAAGTTTAAATAAATTAAAGATTATTTGAGAATATTTACACGATGCTTCAAGGGTTTTTTTTTGTCCTTATGAGTTCAAATTTATATACACTTTCTCCTCATTGGTCTGTCATCCTACTCCGTCTTAAAATAAATCCATCTGACTCTTTAATAAAAGGACATTTAAAGTTTCTCTTTAGGATTGTTTTGGAAAGATCACCTGGTTTTATTTTATTTTTCTCAATAGTAGTTGTTCTATGTTAATATCTTTCCCCCTACATTTTCTCTATTCTCTTTAACCATTAATATCTCCCCCACTTTCTTGAATATTCCTTCCTGAAAACACGTAACCAATTCAATGTTTTCTGAAGCCTTTCTAAGTGCTGCCATTTTAACTGTTTCTAGTGACAAAGTCAGAGTGGTCTGTTCTAGTCTTTACGGTAAAAGGGAGATAAATACTGCTCACTCCCTTGTGTCAGGAATTTTAATAATTTAAATCCAAGTGGCTTAGTTTCTGTTTTGTATTCTGAAAAAAAAAAAAAAACACACCACATTTCCTCCTCTCCCCTTCTGTATCTCTTCAGGAATGCTTCCTGTTCTGAGAGTTCAACATCCTGAGTGTCAAGAGCCCCTTGGATTAGAGAAGATTTTAAGCAAAGAAAGCAAGATATTCCCACAGCCTCATGACAGCAGCCTTGGAAGAGGATCTTAGATTTTTGGGGGCTAATCTGACTGTCTCTGGACATCAGAGTGCTCACCAGTGCCCAAGTGGAAAAGTGTCCCCTGGGAGATACAAAGAATCCGCATTGAGTAAGAAGCCCACCACTTCTGCATATTTGACCTGATTAAACTGTCTGTGGTTTTCTTTGGCCTTTGTTTGTGCTATGCTGTTTCTGTAAGCTCCCTACACTCCACGGTTTCTAGGAACTTGTAAAACCAGTCCTGCATTGAGAATTTGAAAAGAACCAGGACAAAAGAATTTGTAGACACAGAGCAAACAGTAAATCCAGGAAAGGAAAGGACCCTGGAAGCCAAAAATTTTTATTCCTAAATCATGTCTTTCCACCCCACCCCCCAAATGAATGATTGTCCTAAGTGGCTTAAAACATAAAGAATGTCCTACAGGGGATGCTCTGTTGGAAATGAAATTGGGCACAATAATCTTTTTAAAAGACACTGCAGAAGGGACCAATGCAAAAACGTTAAACAAAACAGCATAATTACACAAAAATGCATAATAGAAACCTCTTAAAATTTAATTATTAGTTTGTTGGAAAGTGACCCTCATTTATTTTCAGTTTGTCAAGCGTTATGTGTTTAGACACAAGAGATTTCTGTCATGCTGCAACCTGAAGTATGGCAACTTTACCTCTGGTCTCCGCTTAATATTCCACGCTGTAGTGCAGAGCTGCGGGCAGGCCTGCTTTTCGCCTCATCCGGCTCCCACACGGCTAGCTTAGTCCCAGAAATAACAACACACAAATTGTATTCATTTAAGCACTGCCTGGCCCATTATCTCTAGAGAGTTAGTTACTGACTAACTCTCATATCTTGATATTAACCCATTTCTAATAATCTGTGTAGCACCACAAGGTGGTGGCTTACCGGAAAAGATTCAGCATGTCTGACCTGGTGGCTGGCTCCATAGCTTCTACCCCATTGCCTTCTTCCCAGCATTCTGTTCTGTTTACTCCACCTACCTAATTTTCTGTCCTATCAAAGGGCCAAGGCAGTCTCTTTATTAACCAATGAAAATAACACAATAGACAGATAACCCTCCTCCATCATTTCCCCTTTTTCTGTTTAAACAAAAAAGAAAGGCTTTCATTTTAACATAGTAAAATTACATATAACAAGACAGTTATCAAGCAAGAATTATAGTTACAATATTTATATCTATTTTATCTTTTATCATCATTAAGGAAAACTATAACTATAACCAATCATTCTTCAACTCCATCAAAGTCTTTAGAAGAATATAATATTACCTAAGCAAATAAGAAATAAACAACTTTCAAAACTCTAGAAATGACGGAGACATCTTGCTGCCTGAACAGTCACCCAAAGTTTCTCTGTATCATTGGGGCATCCATCTTCGGCCTTCAGGCCCATAGTATCCAGCAGACATTTCCACGAAGCAGGAAATTTCAAAGGCAGTTCAGTTAATATTTGCTGTGTCCTGCAGAATGTCTCACATAGTCTTTCATGAATCAGGAACCCAAAAAAATCATCTCACCTTTAGGCAAGTTGGAGATTGTTTCTTATTTTCTAAGTGGACAGCAATATTATTAATTTTATAGACTCTTCCTGCTTAAATACCATATAAACACATGCTAATTATCTGTCTAATAACTTTTCAACTACTTCCTAGTTACAAGAAATTTTCCTTCATAGGCAAATTTGATAATATCAAAGGTATCATCTATCTGCTAAGCCTTGATCCTTCAATCTACATGAGAACCAAATCTTCAGTTTTAAATTTGGATGTTGGGAAAATGATTAATTGACCCAATTTTCATAGTATGTTTGGCTCTTCCAAGAAGCAAATATGGATTTTTTTGAGAAATGAGTGCATAGTTTAGCTTCCAAGATTTATATCAGTTAAGAATAAACAGTGTGATGATGCAATTAAAGATCACTACCAGAGAAGACAGTAATAAGTAAGAATGTAGAGATGAGAATGATCAGTTGATTTATAACATTGAACAATAAAGTGTGAAATAGAAGAACAAACCTTAAAATTACATAATTAAAAATAAAAATAATTTCCTTTTGGATTAAAACCTATATAAATATAGTACATAGAATTAATATTGGCAAAGAATTATAAATTCTTCAAAAGACTGCAGGCTGGAGAATAATGAAGAAAGGATTTTGAATTGGAAGATATGTAGAGAAGTTGCCAGAATGATAAACAAGGGACTGATTATGAACATCTGAAGAAAGTCAAAACATATTTAAAATAGTATGCATGCAATATATATATATATATATATATATATATATATATATATCTGAATTTCAGGATGGAAACAGAAAGTGCAATATGGAAATGGTATTTTGTTACAGTTGAAAGTGGGCTAAAATTTTATGGAAGCATTCATTCCATAGCAACAACCAGTACAGCACATTGTAAGACATAAAGATTTAATTAAGTAACTGTTTCCTTAGGCATATGCAATGAACCTTTAGGATGAGATAAATTTGAAGACGAGCATTCAAAGTAAAGTAAGGTCAAAAAGAAAACATTAAAGAAATTTAAGTTAAAAAATATTGCAAAAATATAAATAAAAAAGAAATTTTATGGCTATTACACAGAAAAGCAACTTCAGTTTAGAATTAGTCACTAAACAATATTTAATAAGTAGAAATAAATAAAAGCATTTAAAACAACTTAGTTTTGTAACATAGTGTTTACATGACATATTAAAATCATATCAAAAGGAAAGATTACAAAAATGCCTGTGAGGAATAAAGGAATGAACAACAGATACATTAATGAATAGTTTATAAAATATTTTATGTAGACAAGTAAATAAACACAGAATGAGTTTCTAAAAATATCAAATTACATTTCTGTGAACTGATAACAAATGAATGCAAATTGAAATGTAATTGTAGTTATAGATGGTGAGATTTCTTGAATTATTCAGAAAAGGAATTCATGTATGGGATATATTAATTTCAGAGATAAATACAAAAATATTGTTTAAGTATTAAACTCTGTTCTAAAAACATATGAATGCTCCTTTATGAAGGAAAATGGAGAGGGAATGGATGTGAGGGAGAGCGGAGGTTGATGGGAGCTGGGATGAGGGAGGGAAGAGAAACTGTAGCCAGAATGCATTGCATGAAAGAAGAACCATTTTAATAAAAAATAATAAAATAGAGCAGTGGGTACAGTGGAAAATACAGCAGCATACAATATAATGTCCTCCAACAATAAGGCAAGACATATATAGCAAAAGGAATTAAGTCCCATGAACACAAAAATAATACAAATAGAATTTCACATATCTATAAAAGTCTTATTTGACTACATTTATGATTCTACTGTTTGTTATAATATAAAATATCCAAATGTCCCCAATGTTATAACACATTATTAAAAAGAAAAGTCTGGGAACTAACTAGATAAAACACTAGGTAATATTTAATAAAAAGAAAAGGGAATAGGCACACTAAAACCAGATAGCAGAATCAAGGAAGATTTTGTATTCTTCAATAAAACTGAGTTATTACAGATGAAACACACACTAATAATATAGGGAGAATAAACAAAACTATCATTGTAATAGTAAATGTATGCCTTTTTCATTAATGTTAATAAAATAATGAGAACTGGTGAGATGGTTCAGTCAGTCAAGGTTTTGTGTGTAAGACATAGGATTCGAGTTTAATCCCAGGGACTCACATATAAAGACAGAGGCAGCACCACTCACTCGTAAATTACTAGTTCTGCGTATGAGACCCTTCGTGAAGCAGGGCCACAAGACCTGCTTAATAGAAGTCAGAGTTAGTACCCATTTTCTATCTGCTAGCTAGCCTATCACCCACCCAGTCCTACACACCAATCTGGTACTTGATGTCTGAACCCAGAGCTCCAACCAGAACTTCAGACCTAGAATTAGTAAGATTCTGAACCCTAAAGCTTAGAGTAACCCCAAGATTGACAACCAAACAAACACACTGCAAAAGAAACCAAAGAAACAGTTAGACAGTGGTGGCCTGTGCCTATAATCTCAACACTCAGGCTGGTCAGATCCTGGTCTACAGAGTGAGTTTCAGGACAACCAGGACTGTTACATAAAGAACTCTTGCCTCAAAAAAACCAAAACAGCAACCACAAATACAGAGAGAGAGAGAGAGAGAGAGAGAGAGAGAGAGAGAGAGAGAGAGAGAATCAGTAGCTTTTACACAGTAGTCTTAAAAAATAAAAAAAATAAATAAAAGTAACCCTTGAGCCAACTCTAACCTAGAAAGTGAAAGGCTTGTATACATACTAAAACCATTTTGACATTGAAAAGGGAAATCAAAGTGAACACCAGAATACAAAAAGTTCTTCCATGGTCAATGATCGGTAGGATTAATATTGTGAAATCAAAAACTTGTTATCCTACCAAAAGTAATCTACATATTTAATGCAACCAAAATTTCAGCACAAATATTTGCAGAAACTGAAAAATGTAATGTTAGACTTCATATAGAAAAACAAACAGTAGCTTTAAAAAATCCTGAATAATAAAGAACTGCTGGAGACGTCACCATCTCAGAATTCAAGTTGTATTACAGAGCTATAGTTGTAAACATAACATGGTATTGACATAAAACAGAAGCGTAATCATGAGATACATATAAGAAATTTCACCATTCTTACTAAACAGATGATTAGTATCTAATATTACACTGGTACACCATGTTATTTACATCCACTAGACTGACAGAATTTATGATAGGCTATGCAAACAGGGGATGCAAATTAGTACAATTATTTTTGAAAATAAATTTTATTTTTTTAATGTTTTACGCATGAACTTTCTGTCTGCTGCCCAGTGATTCTCCCTGTAGATGTTCGTTTAACACTGAGTACCCAAAAATCAGGACAAGACTGCTTAACGCCGTGTCGTTCTTTTATTGTTATTAATCAATTACACTTTTCAATTCTGAAACAAATGTTATGCATTTCTCAAACTCAAAACTTCTACCTTCTCTCTTGTGCTTGGTTTATAGAAATAGTCCACCATTCCTGGTTTAGTACTGTTATCCTGAGCACAATGACTTAAAGAGTGTAGAACCAACACATAGCACAGTGCTTCTTCACTAAGAAATTTTATGAAACCAAATCAATTAATTAAAAATCCGTTGATCC